GCAGTGTGAAGAAATTAATTTCAAACTGCAAAACAAAGGCAAAAAATCTCAGTTTTTTCTAGGACAGCAGATCTTGGCAGCCTGCCAGACCTCAGATGTAAACACAGCAGGTGTTTCTGAGCTGTTAGAAACAAACTAAAACAGGACAGAGCGTTTGTTGTGAATTACTTTACAGTACACGCAGCTAGAGAGGTCAGTGAGAAATTTTACTGCTTGTTTAAATCTGTAAATGTTTTACTGTCCATAGCCTGGACACAGGTGCACATTAAGGTGGATAAAGCTTTTGAAACATCATAGTTGCGGGGCGTGGCCTGAGCAGCTGAACATGGCAGACGTCTGCTGATTCAGCTCCTCTTCCCCTGGGCACCCGAGGCTGTTTTTCTCCAGCTATCTTCATCGAAATAACCCCTCCACTCCCTACTACCATCCCAGACCTGCTCTCCCCCTCCCATGGGCAGACGAAGTACCTACTCGCAACGTACCCGCAAGTCTACACGATCATCTACTGCACGGAGTGCAAAGGCCGCCACTCCAACCAGGACGAAGGCCACTGCCCCGACCACGTGTGAAATGGCCTCCTCTCTGTTGTACCAGGAGCAGCTATCGCCATCGGGGACTCCCTCCCCCCTGCTTGCCTCCTCTCCAGGCAGCTTAGACACCCGCTCTCCGGCCCCGGAGACCGCCGAGCTACATCTACGGGACGCTCAGCTCCTGGATCAGTTCAAAGCCATGCTACAGTTGGAGCTCAAGATTGCTACCGACACCATATCCGCCAACCTTTCTAGGGAACTCAAGGACTTGGGCACTCGTACTGACCTTTTGTAGACAAAGGTGGACGACACAACCCATGTAGTGAATGCTCACTCTGCTGCCCTCACCTCCCTCCAAGCGGACCTCTCGATGGCGGTCTCGAAATTAGAGGACCACGAGAATCGTGCTCGGGAAATCTACGCATTCGTGGTGTGCCGGAGAGGATAGAGGACCTACCATCTACAATCACAGCTCTCCTCCAGGAGCTTCAACCGGCCATCCCTATCAATCGCATGGAGTTTGATAGGATCCACCGCTCCCTGGGCCCCAAGCGCTCCGACGGCCTACCCAGGGATGTGCTCGTCAAATTCACCTATTACCGCACTAAAGACGCCATCTTTCAGGCTGCTAGAAATGCCCGCGCCCTGGCGTTCCAAGGCTTCAACTACGAAATATACGCCGATCTCAGCACCATCACCATCCAGAAGCGGAGAGCTCTTAAACCCTTTTTGGCTATACTACGTTCCCACCAGATCAGATATGCCTGGGGGTACCCCTTTCGGCTTGTGTTCCAGTACAGCGGAAAATCCCACAGCGTGTCTTCACCGGATGATGCTCAACATTTGCTGTCGGCTCTGGGCCTGCTTCCCTCACCCTCCAAACGGCAGGACCCCCATCCTGATCAGCCATCTCCATGCCGTCTGACTCCCATCTGG